TTAAAAGGTTTTCTGCACACCCTCTGCAGATCCCAAGGAGGTTGGACGTATGTCTAATCGATTCGTTATAATAGATTACCTATACACTATCAATTTTATTACCCGTAGACCACTTTTTTTTTATTGTCACAGTTGACTGCTATCTGGCGACATCTACTGCCGGCCCACAGAAAATGGTTACTGAACTGTTCACCTCTTTGCATCAGTAAATATTGTAGATGATCTCTTCGAATATTTTCTCTCTTATGTAAAAAATAATTTTCTACTGTTGTCTCTTGTGATTCGCTTATCCATAGAATATCTGACAGCCATTTTTCCGTATTTTGCGCACACACACACACAGACAACCACTTTGTAAGACCCTAGACTAAAGTCAAGGGAAAAATACAATACGCTCTGATATACGCTTTGTGCTTGTATGCACAGTACGCCCTGGGAAAAAAAATACTTTTTGAGTTTTGTAAGGGTTTAAAAAAAGAATAGCATTTGACTACTTGCTATTAAGCGGTTTATTTTTAGATAGAAAATGAACGTGAAAACACGGAAAAGGCGTTTAAAACAATGAGCCATATTCACATCCTGATGAGGTTGCTACATATAGATACTGTTTTCTTGCGTTCTGTCTATACAATACATGCAATCATACGGCCAGCTTTCAAGCCGTTTGACGGCCAACATATAGCGCCGTCACCAGGATGTGAATATGGCTCATTTTTTGTATTTTAACCTGATTTTATTAAAACAGAATAATCAATGACAATCTTTTTCCTCTTTCTCATTATAATAGGCATACTGTATGACTTTGTACGCTTTGCGTTTAATTCTAAAGCGTACACGTACGCTCTGCGGTCAGTTACAAACCGTATATGTACGTTTTCTGGCAGATTCTCATTAGAAACCCTTCGTTTTTCCGTACTTTGAGCACAGACATAAAGGCAACCATTTTGTCAGACCCTAGACTAAAGTCAAGGGTACAAGTATTTTAGAAGAATTTTGTCTTCAGGACTTGAGTGATTTGAGCACCGCGCTCTAGATCCTGCTTCTTCTGATGTCATTCACTCCGTTGAGACGCAAAACCACATATAAGAAAGTTCAAAAAAAGAAATACCCTCGTTTTCGAGCGAGTTCCCTTTGAAATTACACTCCGATTTTTGAAAGATATAGGAAGTGCTTTCAGCTATACTTTGACATTATCTCCTATCCTATATGATCATCGAAGCAGGAAAGATATACCACAGAAGACTGTTTGGGATGTCCTTCACGTATGAGCAAGAAATATGCGTAAACGTAACCTAGAAAACTAAAAAAGGTGGTCTAAGATACGTTTAAGGGTATCTGCATTTCTTACTAATAAGAACTAATTTTTGGTTCTGTGGCATCAGAAACACGTGTAAACGTAACCAAGAAAAGCAAAAAGGGTGACCTCTCTCAGTATTTTGGGTTTCTGAAAATGAAAATGACAGATTTTTTAACTTTTAAGTAGATCATTAAATCCGACACAATATTTTCTATCGATCTGCGATCTGTGTGTGTTTAAACAAAATTTGAGATATTGCTGTCACTTTGAATTCCGCGCGCCTTAATTAAAATTATCTTTACCTAAACTACTTCAAACGTTTACGAATAATGGCGTTTATTGAGTTCCATGCTTGGATGATGGATGTAAACAAATATATCAATATCCAGTTGGATAATATCATCATTACTTAAACATAAGATATTTACCGGATTTTGAACGTGAAACGTTTTCTGCGATATTATACCATTGTTTTTAGATACTTTAATGATCTCAGCACCTATCATCCGTGAAAAGACGTGGCTTTGACATGAAGACCATAATTTTCAAAGATCTGTGCCCTGTTTTCATGACCTTTTGTTTTTCTGTATTCTTGATGACACTATTTTTTGTACTTCATCTTGAAGATTTGTTTTAAACATAAAAGAGAACTTACACTTAAAACAGCATAATGCGTTGCATATATTGCTTTTAACTTTAGAAAGCTTCTGTTTGAGCCATCAACGAAATCTACCTTTTACTAGGAAGTCGTTCAGTCAGCGATGTGTGACGGTATAGATATACAAATTATTTATACTTGGCGAACAGTCTGAAAAAATATCTCGAACGAACATCATACTCAGATAATTCTATAACAACCTTGTACACGTGTTCAATCATGTTTATAGCAGTTCTGTACTTCATTACCTCACTATTTAAATCAATAACTGCTCTTTCTCCTAACTTTAGTGTTCTGATATAGTTGTGCAGTGAATTATTTTATTAAAAGGAACAGTATGACATGACTACCGTCTCTTTTAGAAACAGTTGGCATTTATAGGTTTTAGAGAGAGAAGAGAAAATCTTCTCGCACGAAGAATTTCACATAGTTAAACAATGAAGAGAATGTCAGACCGTATAAGAATGTTAAAGATGAGGAGAGCAGAAATACATATCGAAATACGGAAATACGAAATCTTTTACTGGTGCGTACATGGTAAAGAAATTGAAAAAACAGCTGTTCTTCGCAGCGCCCTTTACAATATATGCAGTTATAAGTAAATGACAGAGAATTCATAGGCTAAAAAGAATGTATTATTAATGGTATCTTACCAAATTCTAGGTGGTCTCTGTTATTTGAGACCAAAGCCAAATGCAATCTAAATATTAGGTAGAGAATACTCACAAATCCAAGCCAAATCTAAATTCAAATTCAAACTATCCCATACCAAATCCCAAAGCTTGGGACTTGTTGCACCCGCAAAGCGTAAAGTATTTATTGACTTCTCATATACTGTGTAATATTATTTCTGATGAAAGCACATAGCGACGTTGCACTATTATTTGAGCAGTGCTTTGTCGTCATTTTTTTCTGATGTCAAGGTAGATGAGCTCGAATGACGAAATAATGTTAGTAACAGTAATGAAAAACAAAAAGAACCATACAGAACTCGATGCAATGATGATTTTTTCTTCTTCTTTTCTTTTCTTTCCTTGTAACATATCGTACTATAATGACTCAACGGTTTCTTTACGCTACAAAGAAATAAATACACATGCAACTTTTCTTTGCAGATTAGAAAAACGTTACGACTACCATCTGTCAGGTAAATAACGGGTGAGTCAGAATGAGTGGCAGCCTCCATATTTTCTTAATGACTTTTTCCCTTTTTACACTGGAGACCTGAATTTTTTTCAAAAAATTCTCCTTGCAGTTTTCCACAAAACACTAAAAAGACTTTTGTTCCAAAGCCAAAACTAAAAACGTAATTGTAAAAATACCTAGGACATGAAAAATGTTTAACTTTCTAGCTAGACTGTGGCAAGAGATTTTAAATTATCATTCATGGTAAGATGCTTCTGACAAACCAATAAAATGTCAGTTTAGGCAGAATTGAATCGCGCTTTCTAACAGGATATAACTCACAGCATTTCACACAAAAATATCAATAGAAAGTACATTTTTTAACATGGTGTAGGAATCGACATTTTCCATCGTGCAGTTCAACCCTAATAAAAAAACTAATTTTTAATTAAGGTCAACGTTGATTGTAACTTATGACTCATCGGCTTTCAAACCAAAAAATATTTGACTCAACTGATTAACTTTTGGAAGAATTATATCGACTTTTTGCAAAAATGACGAAATCACTGTTTGAAAAGATCAGCTGCTGTGGTCTAATCAAACCACGCTTTTTAAATTGACAACGATCAATTCAATGAAAATGAACGAGATACACATCAGTGGTTTTTGAGTGCACATCTCTGCGATATGAACACTAGTAGCCGATCCAAAATCAATCTGTTGGTTTCTAAGTGAGAAGCTATTTGAAAAGCCTGGATCTTTGAAATGGCTGCCGTCAGAATGTAAAGATGTTTTTTATAAACTTCTCCATAAGTTCGAAATGTCAGCACATGTTTTTGATCTGTGCTATCGATTGTCGCCAGGTGATCTCACAACAGGATTTGGACACTTAGCAGAACAGCAATAGTGTCTCTTCTGCAACAATTGTGAGACATAGGCTCATTTACAAATCCGATTTCCCACTATTATCCAAATGGTTAAAGCAGGAATCAGCACTCGAAAGAATACATTTTTTAACTTTCGAAAATCTTCACGTTTTTGTTATGAGAAGATTTCATTGTGTTTGTGTTTCTTTTTCAGATAACGATGGCTACTCTAGAAATACTTTCAAACGAGTTATTTTTAGAAATATTTGACTATTTATCGCCAACTGAAATATTTTCTACGTTTCATAATTTGAATAGTCGGATCGACCGCTTATTGAGTCTTCAAAGTATTCGAATCGACTTAAAAACAGTGGAAAAACCAGATTTTATGGACTATTGCGAACACTTCATACCCACATGTTATGATAGAATTAAATATTTACAGTTATGTAACAATCACAAGGAAAATTTTATAAGTTTATTTTGTCAACTATTTCCAAACATGGATAAGTTTTCAACATTACATACATTGATATTAATTAAACCAACGGTTGATAAACTATTGCATCTTTTACCGCAATTATCAACTTTAATACGATTAGTAATAATTGGTAAACAAGAAAATAAACAAGAGAATGAAATTTGTTCGTTAATATTCAATGATAAAATGTTATCACTTAAATCGTGCACATTATCATTTTTCAATCAACTTCACATGGATGGTATTTGTGTATCAAATATTGAATACCTAAAAATTAGTATGCTTAAATTGGAGACCATGTTTCATTTATTCCACTATATTCCAAATATTAAAACATTGAATGTTACAATATCTACGTACGACGAAACATCTGTACCTTCACCAAGTGGCTATCAAAAACTAGCCATGCTAGTACAAAACTTAACAAACTTGACACTAGAAGTTTCTCACTTTTCCACCTTCGAACCTATTGAATTATTATTAAAAAATCTTGTTCAACTTCAGCGATTGTCTTATATCTGTTCAGATGCAATTGGTTTAGAACATATTGATAGTGAACGATGGAAATCAATACTAGTACGATTATATATATTGAAAAAATTTCATTTATCCATAAAAACGCATATAGCGACAACGTTTGAGAATATTCTAGCCTCATTTCAAACAAACGTTTTCATTCATCGTCAGTGGTATTTTGCATTTGATGAAGATGCTTTATCAAATGTCATTCATTTTTATACGATACCATATTTTTCTTCAAAATATTCCTTAAAAATGACAACTATAGCAGCAAGAAATGCACACTGTTATACAAATGTTAAATATTTGGTAATTAGATTAAATAATTCAACATTTCTCTCACCACCAATTAGATTTCCAAATGTTGGCTCATTACAGTTATTCGGTAGCTGTGACTGTTCTCCTTCTGTTATCATTAATTATTTGGATATTGCTTTAGATTATTCAAAACTGAAACATTTTGAATTTTATACAAAAATATCAGAAGATTTATTTCTTCATATTCTCCGTCATTCATCAAATTTATATTCATTAAAGACCAAATATTCTATTTTATCAAAGATTACAAATGATTTCACACACGATGAAATGTGCTCATATTTGAAGAAAAATATTAAAAAATGTGTTCTGGTAAAAACTACACACACGAAAATTAGTGACTTATGTTCACATGTAATCAGTAATGAAATTATCGAGTTTTTATCGAATTAAGAAAAGTTTTTACAGTTATAACATTTTAAAAGATGATCAGACAATCGAGATTATTCAAGTCTTACCAGAAAAACAAATTGAATGCAATCATGGGAAATAAACATACAAGTTTTAGTTCGACTTGTCTGCACATAATGCGATGGCACACTTTCAGCGTCAGTGTTTATTTTATCATACTTGTGTGCAAAAATAAAAGCGAATATTGTGCTATTTTACAGTACTCGATGGCTTGTATAAGTTCTGTCAAACACTTGGAGAGTCATCTATCGTTCAAATATTGCTGCGTTTATACGGTCAGTGATGCGATGGCTTTTTTAACTGTTGTCTGTTCTCGCGTTACAGTTCTCCTGGTTTTTTTTAAAATAGTACAGATGAGATGAGCTATTGTTCATTGCAAAAAGAAAAGTTTGACCCAACATCAACTAATGGTAAGCGAACGAGGCCTGCTAGGCATGGATGGACTCAGTGGAAGCAAAAGAAATTCTACATTGTAACTAAGAAAACAAGGAGGAATAGTTTCAGTGCCAGCAGCTCACGATGAGGAAAAAGAATAACATACGATAACAGGCAGACAATACAAAACTGTCAAAAATATCTATTTGATCTTTAGAATGATTCGGTATTACACCTGACGATTTAAGAAAAAGATATTGTTTTTCACAATTACCATCAAAACAGAAACGAAGTCACAAGAAAACACAGACATTTGTGACGTCGACGGTACTCAGGTACCTACAAATATCTGATTATAGATTACCAACACAAGCTTTCATCTAAATTTTTGTTGTTGGTCCCAAAAATAATTAAACGAGTTATTAGAATTGTGGTTGTAACCAGGCATTTCCATGTTAAATTGCTCCTCTTAAGCCTCTGCACCAAAATGGTGAGTAAACCTAAAAGTAAACGTCCTAATGTGACACATAACAGGTCTGGATTATCAGTATTTGGCACAATTCCTACTGTTCCTTCGAACAATGCTTGTTTTGAATTAATATAGACATTTGTAGCAACGGCTTCTTATTGTTTGAAATATAATGATAAAGATTTGTTTGGGACCTTTTCGTCTGAAGTTATGTTACTCATCTCAATATTAGATACTTGAGGCTCGCACAATCTTTAATTTACTTTTATATGTTCAGTATAAAAAAGTTTACTTTTTTTCCTTGATTAATTTGATTTGAATGTGAATATTTGGAATCTGAAATGGAAAGTAAATAGAAACGAAGTGATTTAATTAAAAAATACTTTTCTATTAGTTTTTTTCAATTACTTTCATATCATAGAAATTTGCGCCTTTCCAAATATGGGAAACCAGGCTGATGAAACACGAATAAGATAAAAAGGAACGCGTGGAAGCCGTCAGAATGCTCAGTCTCGTAGAGATTCGATTTTCTTGGATTTCCACACCTCGAGTTCTTACTTTAATCCTTTCTTACCGTATAGGGACCACTTTATAAAAACTTAGTTCAATTGAACTATTAGACATTGACTCTCTCTCTCCAGGCAACATTTATACGTAATATTAATTAATTACTCGTTTATTAAACACTTTACTCTTTCTGTTTTCTTAAAACAGGGTGTGTAAATTTTTTAACAAATCCATTGATTTAATTATTAAAGAGTGAGTCTATTGACACCCCCAGGAGTGTCAACAAGCAGCTATTGACACTCCATGGACGTGTCAACAAGGAACTAGGATAAAAAAAAAAGCAAGTAGTTTTATCCATTTTCTCAGACAAACTGAGTATAAGTATAAATAATATTTTGCTTTTTTCTGTCATTTTCTTTTATACCCATTTCGTAAACATGAGCCTGCAAATTTATCTTCCATAG